GGGTCGAGCTGCAGGCAGAACAGTGACCCGCTGCACTGTCGGCCATCTTGTTTTTTCCTTTCTTTTCCTGTTTCTTCTGTTGTTCTGTGCTCTTTTTCGCATCTCTTAATTTCTGGTTTGGCCACGCTAAAACAAGTAATGAGTAACTCATAAAAATCATTAATGCTGCAACTAACAACTATTTTGATTTTAAAATGTTTTGTTTTGTCCGTCCCAGATCCAAAAACATTGGCTTTAATTTGATATTTGATAGAGAACAGCAGGAGATCTCCATTTTGTTTTGGCTCAAAAAAGCATTTCCTGAAATGTTTGATCAAAAACATTACTTTTATAAACAACAAATGTTCCATTCATTAAATGTCTTAGCTTTACTCAGAATCAGAAATACTGATGTTCGTAAAACATCATTTGAATAAACTAGAATAAAAAATATATTATAAAAACAAAGGAAGTAAGAATGTGCAATTAAAGTTAAAATAAGATAGGAGAAAAGTGAATGTAAAATGTCCAACCCCCTTTCAAAAGTGCAGTGGGATGAATTTAAATATCTTGGTTTGTCCGTCCGGAATCCAAAAACATTCGCTTTAATTTGATATTGACATTTTTGATTGAAAAAATTACTTTTAAAAACCACAAATGTTCCATTAATTAATTTGTCAGCTTTACTCAGAATCAGAAACACTGATTTTCAGGAGAATTGTTCAATTTGAGAATAAACTAGAATAAAATAAATATTATAAAAAAACATAGGAAGTAAGAATGTGCAATTTAAAGTTAAAATAAGATGTATAGAAGTTAATGTAAAATATTATTAAACTGTATTTCCGTGTCAAATATAGTGAAACAACTCAAACAGCACTTTTTTCACTTTGTGGTGGGATGACTAATTATGCACTAACATTTGAAAAATCCTATTACAATCTAAATCATGTATTACACTGATAAAGCTTTAAAAGTGCAGGAGTTTTTAATTAAGAGAGCTTATTCTTAAGAAAAGGCCCACACTAAACAAGATTTGAAATACAGTATTTAACACTTTCTCTCAAAGAACACTGCATTTAATTCATCGTTCGGATCATTTGCTCAGGCTCAGAGAACAGAGATGGTCTTTGCCTTTTCCTTCCATCCTATCGTTCCTCTGGTGTTGATATGTGGTGACTTTATTCAGGTGGAGCTTCAATGGGCAGCGTGAAAACTAACTCACTCATAGTGTTGGTGCTGCTTTCAAGTGCTGCTGGAAATCCTGTAAATACCAGTGTACTCTGAAGTGGAAACTGTGACTGTTGTTTTAATGTGGGACAACAGGAGCGTGCTTAATTAAGACTAATCTATGTTGGAGCTTAATTAACAATTCTTAAAAACTTGCTCTAAACAATTCTAACATTTCTGCTGAGCTGTCGCTTCTTCTGTCTGCAACTAAACATATCTTGCATTTGGCAGCAAGAAGTCTTTATTATTTAAATCACATTTTATAATATAAGATTGGATTATTATATATATATTATTAGTTAGATCCGAAGCCACAAACTAAAGGAAGAGTTATTTCGAGGGGAAACCGAGGTGTTAGTTTTTTAATTTAATTTAATCTCAATTCCACTACATTTTGAAGCGTCAATCCATCACCTTATTTCCTTATTTACTGACATTTTGATTGCCTTGATCAGAATTAAGGAAAATGATTGTCATGTAAAGACAGTTTGCTGAACACTTAAACAGATCCAACCTTGAAAAGTCTTAAAATAAATAAACAAAAAAAGGCTTTCATAAGAATGGAAACGTCTTGAATCAGTCTTAAGAATAAAAAATATAATGTATAAAATATAATATATATGAAATAATTTGTTCTGAAGTTGTAATTTCAACTACCATAAAAAAATGTTAACAACTTTTTTTTCGTGCAAATCAGTTACGCAAACATTAACCTTCCACAAAAATAACAACTGAAATCTGAGTTGCTTTCAGACATTCAGAAGAAATAAAAAATCTATTTAGCTTCCCACTTATCTCACTCTTCATGGCCAGTAGATGCTGCATTTCCTCAGTTATATTCAATGCTATACTGTTGTATTTGATGCATAGTCCTTTTAAATTACGCTCTGCTTAACCTGCTGATTTCACTGACCCCTCACTGACCTCTGCCTAACCCCTGATCTCTCTTTCTCTTTCTCTTCCTCCCTTTGCTTTGAGCTCACCCCCACTTTCTCTCCCCTCACGTTAAAATCAGCCTGTTGTCACAAAACAGATGGGAATATGTTTTTTTCGCTCCCAAAAACAATCTGGCACTCCCCTGCTTGCATCTCTACGCTGCTAAATGAAAAAGCACATATAACTCCCCCTCAGATCAAATCAGTGACTGTGGTAAAAAACTCCGGCTTTAAGTGTGTGTTTAGCTTCAAGTCGTTTAGCCACTCCCTCTGACTCCCACGTGTGTGATGCTGTGTTTCTCTCGCTGTGCAGATTAGGTGTGCATGGCTCTGACCTGGATGTTGCTTTGTTAAGTGTTTCTCAGGTCCATTATGCAAACATAACAAATTCATACATGTCTGGAGTTTCAATAAAGCGCCGTCCATACCAAGAACAATATCTATAAATATCGTTTTTATTAATCCTTCAAGCTCAAGTGGAGGGAGGAGTCCACATCCACAACTTAACGATGATCAATTGAATCGATAATGACGATAGAAACGCTGACAGACAATCAGAATCTATCCAAATACGAATGTGTCTTTGTTCAGTACAGGAGGCTGGATGAGAAAATGAAAAGAATCTCTCCTCTCCTACATGGTGCTGAAAAACACAAAGTGGAAGTTACTTTTCAACTGATTTCATATTCTTACTATTTATTTATACGATTATTTACATCTTATATTCATGAATAGCAACTAACAGAAGTTACAGGTCATCATTACCTATTATTAGGGCCTGCTTTGAGCTAATAAGATGTTATTATTCTGAAACTCATTAAAAGATGATTGAGATAAAACCTTTAATAATCCCTGTAGGGGAATTCAGGGATTGGACAGATAAGAGTTCAGACAACTACGTTTGAGTGATCAATGTATAAATAAGTTACATTTTCAAATAATTATTCCCTTTAAGCCACTTGAAGGCTTTAAACCGGAAGAATATGTGCAGGAAGTTTTGTTTATGGGACTCACAGCACCTGGAAAAAAGCAAAGTGTATAACCTAATTGTATAACGTTGATATTGTAAATCTAAATCAACATTTAGAGAAATAAAAATCCAGATGCTCATGCTTCCATTGAACCTGGAAAATGAGCATAATAGATAGATGGATAGATGGATGGATAGATAGATAGATAGATAGATAGATAGAGAGATAGATGGATAGAGAGACGGGTAGGTAGGTAGATAGATGGATAGAGAGATGGATAGATAGATAGAGATAGATAGATAGAGAGACAGGTAGGTAGGTAGATAGATGGATAGAGAGATGGATAGAGAGATAGATAGATAGATAGATAGATGGATAGAGAGACAGGTAGGTAGGTAGATAGATGGATAGAGAGATGGATAGATAGATAGATAGATGGATAGATGGATAGAGAGACGGGTAGGTAGATGGATAGAGAGATGGATAGATGGATAGAGAGATGGATAGATAGATAGATAGATAGAGATAGATGGATAGGTAGGTAGGTAGGTAGGTAGGTAGGTAGGTAGGTAGGTAGGTAGGTAGGTAGGTAGGTAGGTAGGTAGGTAGGTAAGACTTATCCCGAAGGAAATTGTTGTGCCAGAGTTACAAAATACAATAAACCCAGCAGCATAAAAAGAATATGTCCTCTTTAAGGCGAATGACCTGATAAAGTATGAAGACATGAAACTACGATCAGTAAATGAAGCACAGTGGCTCACATCCACACGGTATAGCTATATTGATAGTTTTTGTTCTTGGTGTAGACGTCCCTTTACTTCCTCTTTCTCCACCCTTTACTCTCTCTGTCTCTCTTATTGCCTTCACTGTTTTATAACTCTGTTTTCATATGTCAGTTCATATGTGGTGTTGAAAGTGCCTCACCTCCCTCTTCATCAAACACCATCCACCTCAGCTCTGCAGAAAATAGTCTTCTTTTAGCCTCTTTACATCATTCTGTCCCTCCCTACCATTTTATTACTGTTACACCCACCACTTCCCCTCCATCCATAAACACCCCCCCCCCCCAAGTGTAATTCAATAACAGCGACCTTATGTTAATGAATCTGGGTTTTTTGGCTCTAATACAAAAACGGGTATTGCTCGGTGAGGAGGATGTATGTTCGTATTATTACAAAATTGCGGCGGAAGTGGGTGGACGTCCGAGGCCAACTCGCGGACGCGCAGCTTCGGAAAGAACGAGGCTACCCTACCGGGCCTCTGGGGCGGTCGAAACTCAGTCGGAAGGAGGAGGTTGAAGGACCGACAGGGGCCTCGAACGGTCACGGAGACCTCAGCCTCGGTCGTCTTTCTTGGTCATGTACGGAGTTAGCCTCAAAGCGAC